AGAAGAAGATTTTTGAAATATTGATTAATTTTCCCTTTGGGGCCCCGCATGGCCCCAGGGGATCGGGATAGGAATCTCAATTTTACAATTTGAAACCATCTACCTCCAAGGATAATTCTCACCAAGTAAAAATAATTTCCTACAGAAAGTTGTCAAAATATACCCAAAAGTGTTATTTCCCTATATAAACTATAGTAAACTTTACCCCCTCCCCAAGGGAGAACGGATAGCTCGGGGGTCCTGAAATTTACAATTTAAGTAAAGCCCCTGATGATCTTTCTTTCCACGTAGAGAAAATCACTGTAGTACCTCTGAGTCTGGAGAAGAAGATTTTTGAAATATTGGATAATTTTCCCTTTGGGGCCCCGCCCTGGCCCCAGGGGTTGGGGTAGGAATCCCAATTTTACAATTTTGAAGCCTCATCTACCAAGGATGATTCTGACCAAGTTTGAAAAAAATCCATCCACTGGTTCTTGAGAAGAAGTTGAAAATGTAAAAGTTTACGCACGACGCACAACGGACGACGGACGATGGACGACGACGGACGAAAAGCGATTGGAATAGGTCACTTGAGCAAAGCTCAGGTGACCTAATTACAGTAATTACATATGAAGAGCAAAGTTAAGCTGGGCAAATATAAATTTTACCCATGAAAGGCAAATATCTTACAGGGTAAAAGTTTCCCTGTGAACAGTATATGCAGACTACATTCAAGAGATCACGGCATTTCACCTTGCAAACATTAACCCCACAAAAACACATAACTATACAGTTACAGCACTTAACGAGTTTTCATAATTAATAGACTTTTTTTTAATTCCAGACATATCATACACATGAGGAACCGTCTGAGGATGGAATACGTCGGCTACGGTCCTTTACATTAATACTCTCTTAATTAAGCATACATATTCAAGTTTTATCATAATTAATATTCTGTGCAACTCTGTTCTGCAAGAAGGATTTGAATAAAAATATGTATCTAACCTTCGCTCATAAAAAAACCTTTTTGTTGTTGTAAATAACCAGTTTATGATTAATTTAGAATTTGGTTCACAAAAAGAGGGACAGGGATAAGAGAGACATAAGAGTAAGAAAATCAAGTCAAGCATGTTTTGTAGGATCTTTCCGTCTCCATGTAAATCTTTTTGTATCTGGGTGAAATTCCCTATAAGAGTCAACTAGATCACATTCATTTATTATATCAAATAACTTATAATTATCTCTTGCTTAATAATCTTAATTAATAGATTTAACGAGTTTTCATAATTAATGGACTATCATCTTAAATCATCTTTATATATAATCTTAAATCATTTGATCAGTCTTCTTGAATTGTCTTAATATACAGTTGTTTTGAATCATCTAAATAATTTCACCTTTTTTTTCTAAAAAAGCAATCAAAATCAGGAAAACTCAAAACATGAACAGAGAAGAGGGGGTGCACCAGCTGAGTTAAATTTGTATGACCCACTAATGACCTTAAACAGGAGAGGGGGCTAGATCTACCAGTAACATACCAGGTACCGTGTGTATACACTTTCTATCGATAGGCAAAACATCCCTGGTCGAGTGAAATAAGAAATTAACCCTTTCGTCACATCGTTGTACAGGTAAACAATACAAATCATTCACTCAGTCATAGTTAGACAAAGGGACCAGTCGGTGTTAAAACTTTGCAACATGTTAAATATGTACATTGTTGGTGTAGGAGTAAAATTTTGATATCCTAACTGATGAATCTTACTTAAAATACAGTCAACTTAAATCTTCTTACTACCGGGGTATAAAGAATTGTGATATTACACAGTAAATACCAACCTTCTTACTGTAAGTCAGTTTACTACTTCTAAACTGAAAAGCAAACTTGGTGAAACTTCTGTCCTTCTTGCTGAACTTTAGCTCCAAAAATGGACCTTTCTCAGGTTTAAACTAAAGAAAATAAAACAAGGAGATATTTGTTACAAAATTGATTCAGCAAAAAGAGAAAATATTAGCATCCAGTAACTGATTTCAGAAGCACCTGCCCGATGAAATATTCTTTTCATTAAGATATATATTGATGATAATTTCAGATTTTTACAAATGAGTGGTGTAAACACCACCAGTTTGTATACTCCAATATTGCAATATATTATCGCTAGACTATTTTCAAATCACATACCATATTTAGTTTATTGCAAAAAAATCTTTTATAAAATGTCTGATTCAAACACATATACCTCACTAATATATTAACGACAATTCAACCAAAGCAATTCTGCAATCATGGACTTTTTCAATATTTCAAAATGAATTGCAAGGTTTCTTGGGTATGTAGATAAAAAATTGACAAATGCTAAGTAGTGTAAGATAATCTTGATTTACATTGCTTTCCAACTTGTCTGCGAGCTCCGACGGTTTGAGACATAGACATGCGGTTCTGCTGTAGTCACTCTGCCAGTCAGCCCAAGACATTACCACAGTATAGACATTATCTTTTGGGTACAGCAGGCGTTCTGAGGAGGATAATAGAACAGAATACTCTACAGTATAAGGGTGGAAACGATAGGGTTAACATATTTCCTAGCTAGTATACAGTATTATCTAAACTCCTGGGGATGTACTCTGTATTAGGCATTATGAGGAGAGTAAGTTACTAGGATTGTGACACAACCTGTAAAGGGCCTGTCACATGCTACCAATGTACTCGCCGGCACTTAACCGAAGCAAAATATTAACAATGGCAGAGCTCCGGCGAGAAAGCACTTGAAAAACTTACCGTAGCAAAACCAATGTGGTTCTTGCATTCCCATTGTGATATTGTTGTTTTACCGCTGTCCTGCCGATGTAAGAGTTGATGTGCTACCAAATACCACTTTCTGTCACCTTAGTGTTACTGATGTGCCGCCGATGTTATACCGATGCACCAGTACTACTTCGGTGGTTTTCGGTAGTACTACGGTATCACATCGGTACCAGTACAGTACACATTGAGGCTACAACGGCGAGAATTTCTAAACATATTCAAAAAATTCTACTGTCGCCTGCCGTTCATTAATTTTTCGCCGATGTTCTGACAATGTTCCACTGTTCTTAGCGATGTAATACCGCTGCCATACTAGTACTGATCCCCGAAAATCGCCAATTGTGCTCCGGTATAGCTCCGGCGACCCAAATCGGCTAGGTGTGACAGGCAGTCCGCACTTAACACTTATTTAAGAAGTAATATCACATATTTATCATTGGTATAAAAGTGATGAAGGATGGACTTACCCACAGCACCGTTACACACCATCTCATGTAGGGCATAGTTATTGGGCGAGGCTTGCACTTTAAACTTCGTTAGTAGAGGCCCAATAATTTCCTGTACTGTTGTATCGTGTTTTAACTGTAATATAATGAGAGTAATCATAAGGAAAACCTTAGCTGACTAAGTATGAATAAGTCTTCCCTTTTACTTGGTGGGTGGTTAAATATAATTATCAAAAAGTTCATGCTTACATAAACTCATCAAGATCACTCATTAAACTTCATTCAATTCACAGTTATATTTGTACAATTCTGATTGAAACCAAATTTACAACTGTTTTTATAAGTTTGAAAATCATTTTAATACAGAAATAATAATGAAAATAAATTAAGGTTCTTATATACCGTTTTATCACAACCTAGTTCGTTGGTTGTCTCAAAGCAGTTCACAAATTATTATTCGTGGTTATAGGGCTTTTTGCAACCAGCCAATATCTTTCTCAACTCCCTGGGGAGCATACAGCCGGTGCTGCCATTTCAGCGCTCACCGCTAGCATTCTACAATTCTAGCACTACCCAACCACGTACTCATTTACAGCTGAGTAGACTGGAACCAACGGAGTAAAGTATCTTTCTCAAAGATACAACACAGTGCCATGACGTGAGTCGAACTCGCAACCCTTCGGTCACGAGCCCGGCGTCCTACCACTAGACTACTGTATATGTATTATTTTTTTAATTCAATGCACATTTCAAGAAATGGAAAAATGAACAGCCAATCAGAGGCCATGGCAGTCATCTTGAATACCAAAAATTAAAAGTTTGGCCATTTCATGTAATATATATTACCTTTGTATTATATCCAGAATATGTCATTGTAATTTGTCACATAATTTTCAGAAATTTGTATGGAAAAGGCTTGAAATGTACAGTAAGGGTATTAACTTTGGGGAAAAATCATGACATATTCCAGGGATGCAGAAAAGATATGTGTACCAAAATGCAAGCGGAAACCTTGGACTTCAAAGATGATCAATACCACAACCCCCGGTAGCAAGATTAATGCACACTGATGTGGCATCTTTACAGTTGTAGAACTTACTACTGTAATTTAGGGAGACAGAATATTGAAGGAACCCAATGGATCTCGGTCTACAATACACTGGGTCATCATTATATGTATACAAACTGTTAGAAGATAAACAAGGAATTAGATTTAATACTTACATGGACACTTTCGCTATGTCCATTGTGGATGAGGAAATGTACAGAAACCATCATGGGGTCGCCAATGGTACTTTGCTGTTAAAACAATAATCTGAGGTGAGGTTCACTGTGACATGATTAGCATATACCAGATTATATCTGATCATATAGCACATACTATTATCTATCTAGATATCTCCAATTCACCAATTTCTACAATGTCTACCTAAATCTAAAGAATTGCAACCATCAGCTCCAATACAGATAATACAGCCAAAAAAGGGGAAAGTGACACTTATATGAACATGGGTACTAACTAAATCATAAAATAGATGGTACTGTTAGAAAATATAAGCTTATGCTTCAACATCAGGATAGATATTTTGAAGTGGTGTTCCAATTTTAGGTATTTAAATCCTTTTGAAAGACCAATCACCACAATATAATTGTTCACAAAAATTACATGTTTTACCATATTTTGAATCATTCTTTTAGCATGCTTTCTGTTCATCTTTTAGCAAAGTAATATAATATCCAGTTGACTATTTCCCTCAAGTATCTATTTTCATTCCCCAAAATATGATAAATAAAATTATTCAACACTTTCGCCTGGAATAATGAACTTCAGTTTCGGGGAACCCAAAACTTGCTTTATCCCTCAACCCAATCATTTAACTGTATATTGATATAATTCTGTTTTATCAATTACGTATAAATGTAGTTCATTAAATTGACTTTATCCCTATTTTTGACCTGAGCTATCTGTCCAGGTAGTTAGTCCTCTATCAGCAGTTTGTAAGTCTTGAAAATATGACACCCCTGCAGACCTCCTCCCTCGGCAATTACAGAATGTCATCACGAAAATTATCAGGTAAATCAAAGGAAAGGTGGGCTGAGTATGTAGTGACCTGACTGCCTCAAAGAAGAGGGGGGCTGAGTATGTAGTGGCCTGACTGCCTCCTGTTTGTCATCCATCATGAGACAAACATGCAGAAGATATTAAATGAGTAGACATGGTGGTTTGGGGTAGACATGGTGTTTGGAGTATATATGGTGTTTGGAGTAGACAGGTAAATCAAAGGAAAGGTGGGCTGAGTATGTAGTGACTTGCCTGCCTCAAAGGAGAGGTGGGCTGCGTATGTAGTGACCTGACTGCCTCAAAGAAGAGGTGGGCTGAGTATGTAGGGACCTGACTGCCTCAAAGGAGAGTGGGGCTGAGTATGTAGTGACCTGGCTGACTCAAAGGAGAGGTGGGCTGAGTATGAAGTGACCTGACTGCCTCAAAGGAGAGTGGGGCTGAGTATGTAGTGACCTGCCTGCCTCAAAGAAGAGGTGGGCTGAGTATGTAGGGACCTGACTGCCTCAAAGGAGAGGTGGGCTGAGTATGTAGTGACCTGACTGCCTCCTGTTTGTCATCCATCATGAGACAAACATGCAGAAGATATTAAATGAGTAGACATGGTGGTTTGGAGTAGACATGGTGTTTGGAGTAGATATGGTGTTTGGAGTAGACATGGCGTTTTGAGTAGACATGGTGTTTGGAGTAGACATGGGGTTTGGATTAGATATGGTGTTTGGAGTAGATATGGTGTTTGGAGTAGATATGGTGTTTGGAGTAGATATTGTGTTTGGAGTAGATATGGTGTTTGGAGTAGATATGGTGTTTGGAGTAGAGATGGTGTTTGGAGTAGACAGGGTGTTGGGAGTAGAGATGGTGTTTGGAGTAGACATGGTGTTTGGAGTATATATTGTGTTTGGAGTAGAGCTGGTGTTTGGAGTAGATATGGTGTTTAGAGTAGACATGGTGTTTGGAGTAGATATGGTGTTGGAGAAGATATGGTGTTTGGAGTAGACATGGTGTTTGGGGTAGAGATGGTGTTTGGAGTAGATATGGTGTTTGGAGTAGAGATGGTGTTTGGAGTAGATATGGTGTTTGGAGTAGACATGGGGTTTGGAGTAGAAATGGTGTTTGGAGTAGAAATGGTGTTTTGAGTAGACATGGTGTTTGGAGTAGACATGGTGTTTGGAGGAGACATGGTGTTTAGAGTAGACATGGTGTTTGGAGTAGACATGGTGTTTGGATTAGATCTGGTGTTTGGAGTAGATATGGTGTTTGGAGTAGAGATGGTGTTTGGAGTAGATATGGTGTTTGGAGTAGACATGGTGTGTGGAGTAGAGATGGTGTTTGGAGTAGATATGGTGTTTGGAGTAGATATTGTGTTTGGAGTAGATATGGTGTTTGGAGTAGATATGGTGTTTGGAGTAGACATGGCGTTTGGAGTAGACATGGTGTTTGGAGTAGATATGGTGTTTTGAGTAGACATGGTGTTTGGAGTAGACATGGGGTTGGAGTAGATATGGTGTTTGGAGTAGACATGGTGCTTGGAGTAGAGATGGTGTTTGGAGTAGATATGGTGTTTGGAGTAGATATTGTGTTTGGAGTAGATATGGTGTTTGGAGTAGATATGGTGTTTGGAGTAGATATGGTGTTTGGAGTAGAGCTGGGGTTTGGAGTAGACATGGTGTTTGGAGTAGACATGGTGCTTGGACTAGACATGGTGTTTGGACTAGATATGGTGTTTGGAGTAGACATGGTGTTTGATATTAAATGAGTAGACATGGTGGTTTGGAGTAGACATTGTGTTTGGAGTAGATATGGTGTTTGGAGTAGATATTGTGTTTGGAGTAGATATGGTGTTTGGAGTAGATATGGTGTTTGGAGTAGACATGGTGCTTGGAGTAGAGATGGTGTTTGGAGTAGATATGGTGTTTGGAGTAGATATGGTGTTTGGAGTAGAGATGGTGTTTGGAGTAGACAGGGTGTTGGGAGTAGAGATGGTGTTTGGAGTAGACATGGTGTTTGGAGGAGACATGGTGTTTAGAGTAGACATGGTGTTTGGAGTAGATATGGTGTTTTGAGTAGACATGGTGTTTGGAGTAGACATGGTGTTGGAGTAGATATGGTGTTTGGAGTAGATATGGTGTTTGGAGTAGACATGGGGTTTGGAGTAGAGATGGTGTTTGGAGTAGATATGGTGTTTGGAGTAGAGATGGTGTTTGGAGTAGATATGGTGTTTGGAAATCGAAAGTTGGAATGCTGATTTTTTAAAAATTCTGACATGTGTCTTTTTTGAAAATATAACAAGTAAGGAATGGGATTTAAGGACAGGTTCCACATTCTTCACACCTGAATGAATTGGTCACTTTGAACTCCTTGTGTAAGTTATGGAACCTGTCAAGGGAGTTAGTCTGCATGACTGTTTTAGTTTTTAGACTAACACATAGAGGATCTAACTCCCTGGATAGCAAAGTCTGGATATAATTAATTTAACAAGTTACTTTTACAAAGTTATGGATTATTAACGGAAAACAGGAAGAGCTGCTTGAGAACAGTACTTAATGGGAACATGCTGGATTGTGTGCATAGTTCATTCCTCGAGAACAGAAATCAAAGAATGTGATCCAAAAGATTACAAATTTAGATAAATACTGTAAGGAAAATTCCAAATCATCTCATGCTTTTAATTGGAATTGAAAGAAAAATGACCCAAAACAAAATGAGTAATTTACCTTTGAAAAAACGTTGCATTCAACCTGAATATATGAATATGTTGTCTACAAGTTTGACATATTACCAGGCTATTTATATTTAGTACATTTTAACTTTAAGTTTAATATGCAGACTAATACTTCATAATAGGGATCACGGATTAGAGTCTGAAATATTGTCTTATAATTTGTATATGTATATCTTCTATTGGAATAAATCATCTGTAAATCATACATATCATTTCAATTTGTATACACCCTCTATAACTTAAATGTATAGTCTGTTATTTGTTCACATCATAAATAATTTATACTTATCATACATATCTATATGTATAATGCATAAATATTGTCTACAGCTACATATATAATGCATACATATTGCCTACATATGTATATTCTCTATAATTTGTACATAGTTATAAAACAGTCTATAATTTGTACATAGTTATAAAACAGTCTGTAATTTGTACATAGCTATAAAACAGTCTATAATTTGTAATGAGGTACCAGTAATTCAAAACATGTTTTTTCAAAACAATTTTTTCGTCTTGTTTGTATTTTTTCAAGTCTAACTTGAAAACAATTTGATTCAGTTCTGTGTCTGTTTTTGGCATTTCTCAATGAAACGTATTAACTGATACACAGGAATCAAGCATTTGCTCTTTGGTGCTTGTAGTATTCAGTTTTATCACATAATCGGCCTGTTATCCAGTGAATTCGTCCGTGTAATATATTTACATATGTCACTAGTGTAACATACCCTGGAGCGTTTTTCATTGGCTGTGCCAGTCAGAAATTGATTGTGATGTCATAATATGGACAATGACGAAACGTCATAAATTGTGAATGGCGCAACAAAATGGCTGTCTCCGTTTGATTAAGCCCTGTACATTTTGGCTTTAAAACCTGTCAAAATGTAAGTTTTCTGAGTTATGTGATAAAAAATATCTTAAATTTGTTTTCATTTCATATGACGTTTTATGAAACTCATCTCTAAATTTTGATTTTTGCTCGCAAAAATAAAAACTCCTTAGACCCTTTTCATAAAATCTCATATGAAATGAAAACTCATTTAAAACCCTATATATCTAATGCACTCTTAACAGTACTTTGGTGGTTCAATTTCACCCTGTCATGTGTTTAAAGATTATTCTACACAGACAAGAGATGTTACTCTACAGTTAGGAGGTAGTGTTATAGTACCTACCCGTTTACTAGCCCGAGCCTGTAAATCTCTATCAACACAGACAAGGGAGGTCACTCTAGAGTTATGAGATAGTGTTATAGTACCTACCCGTTTACTGGCCCGTTCCTGTAAATCTCTATCTACACAGACAAGAGAGGTCACTCTAGAGTTATGAGATAGTGTTATAGTACCTACCCATTTACTAGCCCATTCCTGTAAATCTCTATCAACACAGACAAGGGATGTCACTCTAGAGTTATGAGATAGCGTTATAGTACCTACCCATTTACTGGCCCGTTCCTGTAAATCTCTATCAACACAGACAAGGTAGGTCACTCTACAGTTAGGAGATAGTGTTATAGTACCTACCCATTTACTGGCCCATTCCTGTCAATCTTTATCTACACAGACAAGGGAGGTCACTCTAGAGTTATGAGATGGTGTTATAGTACCTACCCGTTTACTAGCCCATTCCTGTAAATTTCTATCAACACAGACAAGGTAGGTCACTCTGCAGTTAGGAGATAGTGTTATAGTACCTACACATTTACTGGCCCATTCCTGTCAATCTTTATCTACACAGACAAGGGAGGGCACTCTAGAGTTATGAGATAGTGGTATAGTACCTACCCATTTACTGGCCCATTCCTGTCAATCGTTATCTACACAGACAAGGGAGGTCACTCTACAGTTAGGAGATAGTGTGATAGTACCTACCCATTTACTGGCCCGTTCATGTAAATCTCTATCTACACAGACAAGTAAGGTCACTCTATATTTAGGAGGCAGGGTTATAGTACCTACCCATTTACTGTCCCATTCCTGTCAATCTTTATCTACGCAGACAAGGGAGGTCACTCTAGAGTTATGAGATAGTGTTATAGTACCTACCCATTTACTGGCCCGTTCATGTAGATCTCTATCTACACAGACAAGTAAGGTCACTCTATATTTAGGAGGTAGTGTTATAGTACCTACCCATTTACTGGCCCGTTCCTGTAAATCTCTATCAACACAGACACAAGGAAGGTCACTCTAGAGTTATGAGATATTTTTATAGTTCCTACCTGTTTACTAGCCCATTCCTGTAAATCTCTATCTACACAGACAAGGGAGGTCACTCTACAGTTAGGAGATAGTGTTATAGTACCTACCCATTTACTGGCCTGTTCCTGTAAATCTTTATCAACACAGACAAGGGAGGTCACTCTAGAGTTATGAGATAGCGTTATAGTTCCTACCTGTTTACTAGCCCATTCCTGTAAATCTCTATCTACACAGACAAGGGAGGTCACACTAAGAGTTATGAGATAGTGTTATAGTACCTACCCGTTTACTGGCCTATTCCTGTAAATCTCTATCTACAAAGACAAGGGAGGTCACTCTACAGTAAGGAGGTAGTGTTATAGTACCTACCCGTTTACTAGCCCGAGCCTGTAGATCCCTGAGGCGCTTCTCGCCGGCCGCGATCTGATTTTCCTTCTCTTTCTCAAGCTGAAACATGTAATTTCCTGATGAAATACAGATCACCATGAACTTGAGGTACTTGATTGTAAATTCCATAATCACACGGAAAGATAATTATCCTATGATACAATACTGTATGACAGGTATCCTATCATAATATGCTTTCCCCCACCCCCCAAAATGATTTTTATGATGTATTTTTTCACAGAAAGTTGACACTATAATCAAATGTAGATTTGTTTTTATATTAGTGTTTAGTAACACATTATGTATACCTCAAACAGCTGTTCATGGTTAGTGATGATGTCATCAATCACACGCATCTCGTGGGGAATATTCTGACCTCCCTCTGCACCCTAGAACACAAACATATTATAATGAGAGCAAACATGTTCTGTTGGGGGGATGAAAGTCAGCAAAATGTATTTTATAGTGTCTAGGTTTAACAATTTTTCAAAAGTTTCAGGACACCACATTCCATATTTGGCCAAACAAAAATCACTTATTTTCTTTCTATATTTTCTAAAAAAAGTAACAGTGACCTTGACCTTCAACATATATACCTGAAACATTAACTTGTTCTAGGCATTGCCATAACAAAGACTTGTATAAAGTTTTATTGAATTCCATTGAGGAATGAAGTTGATAGGGCGATGACAATGTTTTTATAAAAATAGTAAAAGTGACCTTGACCTTTAACGCAGTAACTTGAAATGCAAAATTGTTCAAGGTATTGCCATACTTAATACTCATATCAAGTTTCATAAGATTGTGTTGAGAAATGAAGTCGGTAGGGTTTTTTTTAAATAGTAAAAGCCGCCTTGAGCTTGAACATAGAAACCTGAAATGATAACTTGCTCAAGGCATTGCCATTCCAAACACTTGAATGAATTTTCATTAAATTCTGTTGAGGAAGGAAGTTGGTAGAGCAATGACAAAGTTGTGGGGTAAGAGACACTTACTATCTATGTTGTGGGGTAAGAGACCCTTATTATCTATGTTGTGGGGTAAGAGACACTATCTATGTTGTGGAGTAAGAGAAACTTACTATCTATGTTGTGGGGTAAGAGACACTTACTATCTATGTTGTGGGGTAAGAGACACTTACTATCTATAGTGTGGGGTAAGAGACACTTATTATCTATGTTGTGGGGTAAGAGACACTTACTATCTATGATGTGGGGTAAGAGACACTTACTATTTATGTTGTGGGGTAAGAGACACTTACTATCTATGTTGTGGGGTAAGAGACACTTACTATTTATGTTGTGGGGTAAGAGACACTTACTATCTGTGTTATGGAGTAAGAGACACTTACTATCTATGTTGTGGAGTAAGAGACACTTACTCTCTATGTTGTGGAGTAAGATACACTTATTATCTATGTTGTGGAATAAGAGACACTTACTATCTATGTTGTGGAGTAAGAGACACTTACTCTCTATGTTGTGAAGTAAGATACACTTATTATCTATGTTGTGTAGTAAGAGTCTCTTACTATCTATGTTGTGGAATAAGAGACACTTACTATCTATGTCGTGGAGTAAGAGACACTTACTATCTATGCTGTGGGTTAAGAGACACTTACTATCTATTTTGTGGGGTGAGAGACACTTACTATCTATGTTGTGGAGGAAGAGACACTTACTATCTATGCTGTGGGGTAAGAGACACTTACTATCTATGTTGTGGAGTAAGAGACACTTACCATCTATGTTGTGGAGTAAGAGACACTTACTTTCTATGTTGTGGGGTAAGAGACACTTACTATCTATGTTGTGGAGTAAGATACACTTATTATCTATGTTGTGTAGTAAGAGACACTTACTATCTATGTTGTGGAATAAGAGACACTTACTATCTACGTTGTGGAGTAAGATACACTTACTATCTATGTTATGAGGTAAGAGACACTTACTATCTATGTTGTTGAGTAAGAGACACTTACTATCTATGTTGTTGAGTAAGAGACACTTACTATCTATGTTGTGGAATAAGAGACGCTTACTATCTATGTTGTGGAGTAAGATACCCTTACTATCTATGTTATGGGGTAAGAGACACTTCCTATCTATGTTGTGGGGTAAGAGACACTTACTATCTATGTTGTGGAGTAAGAGACACTTACTATCTATGTTGTGTAGCAAGAGACACTTACTATCTATGTTGTGGAATAAGAGACACTTACTATCTATGTTGTGGAGTAAGATACACTTACTATCTATGTTATGGGGTAAGAGACACTTACTATCTATGTTGTGGGGTAAGAGACACTTACTTTCTATGTTGTGGAGTAAGAGACACTGACATGCAAGTATGATATACTTACTCCCAGTACTGTGGCAGTGGCAGTGGAAGAGTCCACTCCTGCCTTCATCAAGGTGGAACCAAAGCTGGCAGCTATGTTTTTCACAGTCATCTTATTTTCTACACTGTAGCCTGACAATCTGCAAAATAGTAATAGTAGATACACTGACAGTAGAATTTACACATACTAAAAGTAGACATGCATATAATATTGATCTTATTCAAATGGAAATCAAAAGTCTCTAGAATTCATCTGGGCTAATTATGTCCTTCAAATTTGTACTAAATTTGAAATTCCTAAGCATATAAAATTACCCCTCGGCAGCATACAGTAGTGACCTTTACTGCAGAATTAGATTTCATAATAACCAATCAAAACTTTAGCCTAAAACCACTAATACAGGATTGAGAATCGACCATAAAATTGAAATTAAACGGCTACCTCATTTACTCCTTGAGACACATTTGAACTCATCCAATTCAAGGGTTGGAATAGTTTATTATGAAATTTCAAGGTTAAATGAGTTAATATCAAATCTATAATGGTAAGTTGTAGCCTGGACAGGATTAGTAATCACATGACTTACTTGGCGAGATGTATGACGAGTCGTCGGAGGGTGCGGCTGTGTACCGTGGGTAGTTCTCGTATGTAGTAGTGATACCAGTCTAACTTAGTCTGAGTCATTGTGGTCTTACCTACAACAACATACACTGACCATGTATTACAAGTTCACCATTGTCCTGCCTGAGACATATACCTGCAACTTGTATGACAGTGTTTTCACACAAAATTTGGTCTTGGCACAGAAGGAAAGGATGAATGCCAATGAGACTAAGTTAAAATCCTGAAATAAAAAAATCCTGAAAACAAAGTCTTATGAGTATACATACAGTCCCCACAGCCAATCGCTACAGCCAAGTACAGCTTAAAACCATACCACGACATTACCTCTACATCCTGACCTATACATTCATATTTCAAGATGAGTTCCTAACTCATTCACCCCTTAAAATTTCATAATGAACTATTCCAACCTTTGAACTGAAGGAGTTCAAATATGTCTTCAGGGGTGAATGAGTTAAAGACATGATTACAAATGTGCACACTACTGGACTACTATTAAACTTGACACATATTTAACACAGAAATATTTATAATGGAACATCCAGAAGAATTCTCCAGTGGTACTCTACATATAAGTCAACCTTTTTGTTGAATTCTGACATATAAACTATTAAGCAGATAGTATTTTCTTATCTCAAAAATCATTTGATACCAATTATATCTATGATTTTATCATTTTCTGGTAGCTTGGACAGACCTTGTACTTTTTTAAATGCAATAGAAAATAGGCGATAAATTCATTAATCAAATAATATTTGAATTTGATTGTGGGTTAAATAAATTTGTCACCCAACAAATGCCCACCCGATTAAAGGAATCCTGTTCCACTGCAGGCGAAAACACTAAAGAATTCCTATGTAGTTTTGATTTATTTATACAGTTATCTCCCCTTGTGTTATTTTGGCTAAAGTTGTATTGAGACTGGGCCAGGGGTCTACAACTGATCCACTAGCTCAGATGATTAGAGCATCTAATATTGTGATTGAAGGGTCAGAGTTCAAACCATCTTCGTTAGCCAAGGGTTATGATCCGGTACGATCCGGTCTTCCTACTCTTCATATAGTAGGTAGTGAAGAGTAGGTAGATCGTACGTTATACTGGATCATAACCCTTGGCTAGCGAAGATGGGTTCAAACCCAAGTCTGGCCAAACAACTTTTTTTAACCAACAAATATCACTTATTTTCTTTCTATATTTTCTAAAAAAAAGTAAGTGACCTTGACCTTCAACATATATACCTGAAACATAAACTTGTTCTAGGCATTGCCATAACAAAGACTTGTATAAAGTTTTATTAAATTCCATTGAGGAATGAAGTTGATAGAGCGATGACATTGTTTTTATAAAAATAGTAAAAGTGACCTTGACCTTTAACGCAGTAACTTGAAATGCAAAATTGTTCAAGGTATTGCCATATTTTATTTTGGCTATAATTGTATTGAGACTGGGCCAGGGGTCTACAACTGATCCACTAGCTGGTGATGTTTACTATCAGAACCCTGTTATTGAATTTCAACTGTTGTTCATTTCATCTTTATAAATTTTTGTACAAGTCCAACAGTTATATGATCTACTGAAGCTTTTGCCATGCTTATAAAAAAGTTTCCAATTCCTAGTGACAACTTTTGGTAGTGGTAAAGGGATCTTTAAATGAAAATCTTTGAAGAGAATCAACTAAAATACTAACTTCTTCATTAACTCACAAGTACATTGACGGCCTAAAAGTACAGAAAATACCATTGTGAATTTGAAATACCCTTTTATTTGCTGGTACATATGTCCATTGATAAGTAAATTTTATAATACTGCATTATTGATTTTGCATAAATTGAAATAGAATCATCCTTTGATGCTTAAATCAAAGAATGATCCAAAACCCATTCCAAGTTGAGGTTGAATTTACCCACAGATTAGAATCAAGAGAAATATTAATATTTTAGGGTACCCAGTAGAATCCCTCAAACAGGCTAGGTGTTCTGAAAGCCAGGAGACGTGTCCACTACCGTTCCATGCAATTACCAGATATAAAAGGTAGGGTCTACTAGAAGGTCTCAAAATCATTCAGAAAAACGGCTATTTGGTTAGTTTGTTATTTTTTTTGCAACAGTATTTCAAATAAAATGACAAAAGCTGTTTGTCTATTGCCTAAATGTGCCTGATTATTTTTGGATGAATTTGCGATAGATTCTCCACGTAAACAAACATGCACAATAAAATGTTTCGTGGCCTCTAGTCCCTTTCTGTGTCCTGTTGACTACTGATCACCTGGGTTATCTCCCATGCTATTAGTCGGTGATCAAATTGTCAATGCTTTCTCTGACACGCAAGCCTTTCCAGCATGTTGTATGTATACAATGTAAGGCAGTTAAAGCAGCAGTTGTCAGACAGCAACATATTTTCAATAAGATTCATCAGTTTGAAAATATGTGATATCAAAGTTCTACTTTCTACAGAAATGATGTAGGTATGAAACATCGTTTCAAGACCAACTGATCCCTTTGCCAAGCTATGACCGAGTGAGCGATTTGATTTAGAAGCAATCAAAATCAGAAAAATTCAGAACATGAACAGAGACGAGGGGGGACACCAGCTGAGTCATCTGTATGACCTGATACTGACATAACAGGGGAGGGGGCAAGATCTACACCCTACCTGTAACCTATGTGATGCAGTGTGTGTATACACTCTCTATCGATAGGCGAAACGTCCCAGGTCGAGTGACATATAAAATATACAATTTCATCACATCGTTGTACAGGTAAAAAATACTCATCACTCACTCAGTCATAACTTGACAAAGGGACCAGTAGGTCTTGAAACGTTGCGACACGTTTAATACATACATTGTTTGTGTAGAAAGTAAAACTTTGATATCAGGCAGCACCATATTCACCCCATGTAATGTAAACAGGAAACTCAATCAAGTTTGTAAGATTTCTCTCACAGAGTTGTCTCCCCCTCTCAACTGCGAGTGATTTCAACCCCTAGGGAGTCGATAAGCTGCACATCCTCGACTGAGATACTTTTTCTTAGTCTAAAATGGAGTGATCCTGTGAAATGTGGGAGAAAACTGCCAGGTACTGGGTAAGGATACCTGTACAATTGTTAGTGTTTAGTAATTGCTGTTGAGGATATGTTTACCTGCGACATCTTTCTCTAAACCTGGGTAGGGAATGAAATGAATATATATGTATACAAAATGGGATGAAAAGATGCATAACAAGTTTCTTAATGTTGCTTGTAAAACAATAATGTTGATCAATCATCCTTGTCCTAAAAACTATGGTAAAAAGAGGTTTGAAAAACTGTTCGCATGTTTATCTTACTCCCATTAATTATTTTCAAAACTAAGAAACAAAAAACATGCTAAAAATTGATAACTTTTTAAATTAAACACAGGTAAGATAACATGACAAACAACTGTACACTTATGGTCAATATAGTAAAAACAACTTAATCTATTAAGGAAACAAGCTTTTCAGTGGGCCAACTTCACTTAGTCTTTCCATATGTATATGTTGTGACACAAATGTCAATTAACTACCATACTTGTGATATTGAGGTCATTATCAGCAAGTGTATCTACGACTCCTGCTGAATAACACCTGCTGTAAAACATGTGTCTTTGTCATTAAATACACCTACTCTATCAGGCAGTGAGAAACTAGTCTAATTATTACAGTACCACCATACACTACACCTACTCTATCAGGCAGTGAGAAACTAGTCTAATTATTACAGTACCACCATACACTACACCTACTCTATCAGGCAGTGAGAAACTAGTCTAGTTATTACAGTACCACCATACACTACACCTACTCTATCAGGCAGTGAGAAACTAGTCTAGTTATTACAGTACCACCATACACTACACCTACTCTATCAGGCAGTGAGAAACTAGTCTAGTTATTACAGTACCACCATACACTACACCTACTCTATCAGGCAGTGAGAAACTAGTCTAGTTATTACAGTACCACCATACACTACACCTACTCTATCAGGCAGTGAGAAACTAGTCTAGTTATTACAGTACCACCATACACTACACCTACTCTATCAGGCAGTGAGAAACTAGTCTAGTTATTACAGTACCACCATACACTACACCTACTCTATCAGGCAGTGAGAAACTAGTCTAGTTATTACAGTACCACCATACACTACACCTACTCTATCAGGCAGTGAGAAACTAGTCTAGTTATTACAGTACCACCATACACTACACCTACTCTATCAGGCAGTGAGAAACTAGTCTAGTTATTACAGTACCACCATACACTACACCTACTCTATCAGGCAGTGAGAAACTAGTCTAGTTATTACAGTACCACCATACACTACACCTACTCTATCAGGCAGTGAGAAACTAGTCTAGTTATTACAGTACCACCATACACTACACCTACTCTATCAGGCAGTGAGAAACTAGTCTAGTTATTACAGTACCACCATACACTACACCTACTCTATCAGGCAGTGAGAAACTAGTCTAGTTATTACAGTACCACCATACACTACACCTACTCTATCAGGCAGTGAGAAACTAGTCTAATTATTACAGTACCACCATACACTACACCTACTCTATCAGGCAGTGAGAAACTAGTCTAATTAGTACCACCGTACACTTATGTACAAAGCTAAGCCCCATTTACCTTGAAAGCTTAACATTGATTTTGTTACAAACTTAACACTGAGGTCTCGGAACACTGCGCAATATTGATCCCTATCACCACCTACATAATTAATAAACACAAAAGCAGAGCATCACTGACCTCCTTCCCATAATAAGTATCATCTTTTAAGGGTAATAAATATCACTTTTAAACTGAAACATCGTTAGTTTTTGAGTTTGTTTATTTAGAGATATGTTAAAGAGGTCACTATTTTTCAATGCATCAAACCCAGGACATTTAGTTTACTAGTCTAATACTCTAACAAATCAGCTAAAGAGAATTTCTCCCTAGCCAAGTCAGTAAGAAGTGACTAGTCTATTTCCAGGGTGACATACTCCCCCACCAGGAGAGAACTTGTCTCTAGTTTTCCACGGGTCATATATAGAGATTCTTGAGAAAGTATTGCAGAGTATTCTAGTCAATATTCCCAAAACCCGGAAACTCTGGTTTTCTAGTCTGATGCTCTACCAAATGAGCTAAAGAGAAACTCTCCCAAGCTGAATTGGAAAGAACCAACTCATATTGTTATTTCACCTGGATCAAATGCTCCCTTCCTTGCCAACAAATAATATGAGAGCAAGGCAAAGTATTTTTGTCAATATTTCCTGGATCTCTACCTTGGTGCCAATGTAACAGAAGTCCTTTTTTTCAATTCCTTCACTAGGATCGAACCAAGGACCTCTTGTTTACTACTCTAATACTCTACCTAATATCTTATTGATATAGTGACCCCGAACAGTGACCTACTTTTCTCTATCCAGGTGTTATACAGGTGCGACGTGAGAAGTGGATCCTTGAGGTTCCTGAAGAACCGCTTGAGAGCATTGGCCACCTCGTGTACAGTGTGTGTGCCCAACTCAAGCTTCACAGCATGAGCATCTGAAACAAAACAAATCGGTCAGGCAACACCAAATATTTGTTTAAGACTCTATATTCAGCATCTAACAGTTCTCCAATAAGTTGCATTCCTTAGTTTTTCTTCTATAACAACATTGGATAACATATTAGATCTACAGCTTCAAATTACTCACAAACAGTCTATAAATCATTCAAATATAAAATATTCTACAGCAATATACAGTGTTATCTGGTAGAGATCTTAAACCAATTTACTTTTATAATAAGCTTAGTTAATTAAATGGTGAAAATAGTTGCATTTCTTGAAAACAATTTAAACTTTCCCAGTGAGGGTACATCACTATGATTCCAAGTGTGGCTTCCACCATATAAAGAGTTCACTCAATCCATTTTATTGGTACATGAAAAATCCAAAATCAGATATTACCTGAATACAAAACAATGTCTTATTGATTAACTGTTAAGTGAAACACATGTTCCTATATGAACAAAGAACTGTTCTAAATAACTAAGTAAAGCGTGATTAAGTAATAAAATATTGTTTTAATCAAAATCCCCAACAAGTCATCAAAACAGAGGGTGTTACTTTGTTTTGTACCTTTGGCGAACGTCGCAAGCAGAGTATCAACCTTAGAGTTGGTAGCAGCCAGCCTGTATATGCCTTCCTCTTGCAGGCCTGTCGGGAAACAACATTGACATGACTTGACCTTGGTTCACTGACGACTCACTACTCTCTCATTGATGGCCACACATTGGCAATATCGTTATCATTACACTGTTTATGTATGAAAACAACCTCAGCATTTAATTGTTAAAGGGATGAATATAAATTCAAATTTTCCAATAGTTTTCAGATATTTAGTAGTCAAACAAGGAATATTCAGTGGTTTTGGTCACTAAACAAATAAACAAGGAACACTTAAATTATTTTTAAAAAATCAGTAATTTGTATTACATTACCATGGTCATCTATAAACTTCAAACATTTGTCCACTATCACCGGCACATCATCTGAAGTCAGTTGTTGGTCAATTAGCGTGTCACCACCAGACTGTGAAACAGAAAATAGTTAATTAAAAAGTCTTATTTGAGTGTTTGTAATTTCTGACACAGTTGACTTAAATTCCCCTACAATAACCTTTGACATGACCTGATCATCAACTTAGTGACATCATAAACAGAGTGATGTTATGATTTGATGAGTAGAGAAAATTTTAGATTTTAACAAGTTACAAGATTTTTAAGGGTCCTGGATGCAATAAAATTGGCATTTAGCTTATTGGTAATGCACTAAAAGAATATAGGACTCGGTATGGAAGGCTTGGCCTCTTGCCTTGTCACCTTTGACTTTAATTGACCCCCTTAAGTTATCTTATTAACAATAAATAAAGTATTACAATCATACTTACCTTCATCAAATTACTTATAGCATTAAACAGTCTCTCGGTGTCATGTAGTAAGTCTGCCTGGAAGTACAAGGCTCTGAAAAGAAATAATCTTTCTTCATTACCATAGCCTAAACTTGATGTACACTAATATTTTCCCATTCCTATAGTTTTATCATTGTCCGATTTTCAAAACAGATACACATTGTACGTTGTTTTTCAATACAATGCAGGATGAGTCTTGCCGTGGATTTTAAATCTTTGATTACTCATACACAAGTTAAAGTATAGAGAGCTTCAAAAAATATTTAACTAGCAATTAAATAATTACTCCTATCAGACCAAGACCCTAATACATGTACTATAAACTACAGTTTATTTCTCACATCGGACCCAGACACTAATATCCTGTAGATACATGTTCTCTCACCTGCCACCAGGTAAGTCGAGCACGAAGTGTTTCCCACTTTCTTTACAGGAGGTACAGTTGCTCAACGCATCACCTTGGTACTCTGATAAAAGACAAAGACTCATTTTAACCTACCATATCACCAAGGATATCGATATACTCAAAATACTGTAATCCTGTAATAATACATGGCAGTATAGAACAACACCTTCAAAATCTAGATATTATTTCTAATGCAAAAATGTTGAGACCATAACAAACCCAGTTTTATGAAATATGTATGGTAAAGTCTGGAAAGTTTAATACGTAATAAGATGCTGGGAGTGTATGAAGCTTCACAAAACAATAATTTCTGGATAAAATCAAGCTTTTTGTTAAAAACACAATTCCAGAATTGATGTTCTTTGTGACTGATTTGATGTATTTTCAAACATGAATATTAAATTAACTTAGCTGTACCTCACTGGAATTTGGAAAGGAAAACACATGTACTTTCAACAGACAATGAGTATTTTCATGAAATTGTGGGATTTGTTAAATAGAAATTTAAATTGGTGGCCTAAAAAGTTATTTCAACATCCTCTATATGTCCTAAAACTTATTGATATTAACAGCTTTTCTGAGGTCAACATCCTCTATGTCCTAAAACTTACTGATATTAACAGCTTTTCTGAGGTCAATTTCCTCTATGTCCTAAAACTTACTGATATAAACAGCTTTTCTGAGGTCAACATCCTCTGTGTCTTAAAACTTACTGATATGAACAGCTTTTCTGAGGTCAACATCCTCTGTGTCCTAAAACCTACTGATATAAACAGCTTTTCTGAGGTCAACATCCTCTATGTCCTAAAACCTACTGATATTAACAGCTTTTCTGAGGTCAACATCCTCTATGTCCTAAAACTTACTGATATTAACAGCTTTTCTGAGGTCAACATCCTCTGTTAACTTCATATCCTGGAAACAAAAAGAATCAATCATTACATTTAAACTTGGCTAAGTAACCCTGTCTGTTTCGGTCACTGTATTGGTCACTTGTCTATATAGGAGTCAACTTTCTATCACTTTCACCTGCCTATTATGTCCAGCTGCCTATAATGACCACTTATCTTGACATAAAGGTTATTTGTATATAGTCAGCACCTGTCTGAAGTGACTATCATTCTTTACTGTCTATAAAGTTCACTTTTATAGTGACCACTTAATATTATTTTGACTGTCTATAAAGGTAACTTGTACATATTGATCACCTGCCTATATTGACCGACATTAAACTTCACTTCTGCCTACTGTGACCACCTTTCTATTTTGATATTCTGTCGATAATGACCACACAGTAAACTGCATATCTGCTTACGGTGACCACCTGCTTATTGTGATCACCTGTCTATAATGACCACACAGTAAACTGCACACCTGTCTTTTGAGATCACCTGTCTGCTGTGACCACCTGCCTATCAGTACCAACTCTACATAACTACGATTTATGAATACCTGAAATTTACTTTTTCTGTACTCTACTCTTGACCTGCTCTAATTCATCTTTTGAGCAATATGTTTATACAGGTGTGATTTACTTTTTATTTTAAAAAATTCTTACCTTGTCTGTGTATAACACAACCTTTTTGTTGACCATAACCCAGGACTCGTACCACGTCTGTAAACACACAATTTTATTTGTTTGTAATACACATTTATGTAGATATGTACGGGTATGTCCTATGCTATATTGGTTGCTATGCTGACATGTTTAACTATATTGGTTGCTATGCTGACATGTCTAGCTATATTGGTTGCTATGCTGACATGTCTGACTATATTGTATGAGTATTGTATGTTTGGGTATAACACAATGTTTGGTCTATTATCTTTGCCAGCTTGCCAGCACTTCATAACCACTAGTGATAATCATGTGTTTGCCTCATACATGCTCATTTATGATCAATTATTTCTTGCACACTAGACAGAGATATCCACATTTCTGGCGGTGCTGGGAAATTCCCTTCAGTTAGAATTACCTTATCCATGCCTCACATCAGGGATGGATTCTATTAGTCAAAAACAAATTTTAAAATAATTCCTAATAATATATGACCATCTGTGTTTGATCTTAATCTTTCATCTACAAAATGAAAACATCCATTTCACCTGCTCAACAGGAATCCAGTCCACAAGCATATTTTTGTAAAATACCCTCTTGATTGCATGTGACCTTGACCTTTTATCTCCAATGACCAATTTCTACGACAGCTAGTACTCATGGACTGTTTCTAAGGGAACAAAATAGTCACCGACTGTCTACAGACAACAAGTGGTCATTGACTGTTTCTAAAGCTAGTGTTTTTTTAATATTAGACTGACCGATGACAGTCCTTCCTTCACGTAGAATTTCCCAGCCAAACAGAAGTCCTGTTGTCGCACATCTTCCATCAACGGTAGTGGACAGATCAACTGGAACAGATCAGGAAAAACATGTGTAAGGCACAAACACCATCTAATACCATTTTGTTTGACGTTTCAAGATTGTGATTATAAGTCATTTCCATGCCACAAGTTCTATTTTGTCCGCCTTAATTTCTGGTCGCTACTTAATATACTCACCTGTGATATTTTCCTCATCCACGTCATCTTCTCTTCAGGTGAGGCTGCAGCAAAGAGGTACACTCGACTACCTGTAGACGCACAGGTACTCAGCTCAAAAGCCTCAGGGTACCTGTAAGATCATAGGTCAAAGGTCACACACAAACCAGGTATGAACCCTACTCAAAGAGGGTATCTTATCTTATTGATACAAATCACGGTTAAATCTGCAGTAAATCCCACCTAAGTCTATTCTAAATTTCTGAGTATATAATAAATGTTCACAATTATTTCATCATTTTACTTAACTGCCAAAGCATTTTGGAAAACCGCAGACAATTTTTTTAGGAGAAAAACAAATCTCTTCTACCAATTTTTGACTGACCTCAACAGTTTAAAGATTATTTCAAGTTAAGATCAAAACATTGTAGTAAAAAGTAGTCAAAATGTTGTTTTCTTTGAACATTACTTAACTGCTTACTTTGTGACTGATCTACTAAAGTCATTGTGTACATAATAAATATGTTTATATATTTTACAATTGTATTATAGAATAATATGTATAAATATTTTTTTTAAAGGTCAGTTATATAGGATTTGATGAATGGAATCTCAAGGAATGATTTAAGTGGCTGGTCCATGTTTTTAAATTATTTGATTTTCTATGGGAAAGAAACTCACTGTGAGGCAAAACCTAGAAAAAGTGCATTTGATAAAATAATGATGTAAAACGCCATAGTTTAAGCTGCGCAATGAACCTTATACAATGATTTTTATAAAATGAATGAATCGAAACAGAGCCAAAAGCAAAATGCTCGAAATTCTGGTGATTTAAAAAAAAAATAAACAATCATTAAAACTGATGGATTATGCTCCCCAAATAGGTCACCAAGACTGGAATAATGTGTGGCCTCAATGTGACCTTGACCTTGGGCATACAGACCCAATGATATGCAACACATTGCCTTACCATCCTACATAATAATGTCCCTAAAATTTGATTGATCACGCTATCTTCAACGAGTCTGAAGTTATGGCCAAGATAATGTATTTCACCTTTGACCTCAATGTGAACCAATTGTAGTTTGTGACACACCCTCTTATCATCCTACATTTATCCCTAAAATTTCATTTAACAAATTTCAGGCAATCAGAAGTTATGACATGGGCAATGAATTGGACTTTTGACCACAATATAACTTTGACCTTTGGAGTAGAGACCCAATCGGTATGCAACACCTCACTTTGCCATCCTTCATTCAAATCCCCCTATCCCAGCTTGCCAAGTTCCTTTAAAAACCTTGTATTTTTCAGCAGTTTTTTCATTATCAGACCCCCCTGGACTTATATGGAACATCCCCATCCCATCTCCCAGAGTAGGATCTGGGTCTGTCACTGAAAATCCATGTATACATATCATTTACACTAACAAACCAATTCTATGTATAATTTAAGTCTTTGTGAATTTTGCATCAAAGATTTACATAATTATTCAAAATAACACAAAATTAAACTTATTCTAAATTTTTAAGAAATAATTGAAATGATTAAGTAACAATTGATCCTTAAATCATATGCTACGCTGTAATTTATCATTGATACAAATGTTTTGTATAATATAGAGAAGTCTGTAGAAAATACACGGTACAACATACACAGTATTATAAACAGTATAGATGTAGCATGCTAACAAAATGTGTGGAGCCAGATTGTCTATAAAACGGCCAGAACAATTACTCAACATTCACAGTGCACTGATGATGTCACTAGATCTAAAAGAAAGCATGCTTTAGTGACATCCCAACATGCTTCAGTGTTTCACGACATCACAGGAGAGACTAGTCAATCAGTAAGTAGAAATAACATAAAACTAGGATAATTCTACCATTAGCAGAACTTATTGTGTTACCATGGAACTGATCAGGACAACCTGACCTTGAGACAATTGTATGACCTTGTTATGACCTCATTAATTAAAGATCTTTTAAGGCTATAAGTGGCTTATGTAAATGTTTATATAAATGTCAACAGGAAACAAAAATGAAGACAACAAATAAGAAATGTTATTCACTCTACTTGTAACAACTTTCATTTAACTTGAGTAAACAGGAAATTTAAGATGACTGTACAACTTATGATTAAATCTGATGAGAGGACACTAACCACAGGCTATTTACCCACACTCCTTCATGTAGGAGGCTTTAAAACTGGACAGTGTATTATTATCTTGACCGCTCATCTACCAGGGCGGTGATGACTGACACTGTCAATGACGTCCAAGGGATGTAGATTTGTCCCATAAATTGTATGATCCTCAAATCAAGATAACTCTCCTTCCACTAATTTTGAAGTCACGACTTTGTGAGAGAGAATCTAAGAGTATGAACTAGAAATGGACTGTGCCTTTAGGGCGTCATATATATTTCAAGATTGGTTAATTGTGGTATCAACTCACTCCTGAACAAACATCACTGGAAACATCTACCAATGAAACAACTCAGTTTTTGTGAATAGAAGTGTCAAATAGATCCACGAGGTGAGATGTACTTACCGTAATCAAAAAACTATGTGGTGTAAAGATTGGAAAGGATTTCACGATGGCATGCAATGAGCATTCTAAAGTGCTTGGAGTATTACCAAGAACCCAAGCTATGTCCATTCATAACTTGCTTGTTGAATTATCTTATCTGAGATTATTGCTTTTTCTTTTGAAAGTATTACACTGTTGAATAAATTATCAAGGGCTTGTCCATTGAGAGTCATTAATTGAATTAATAAGATATGTTTCCTGATTGGACAACAGTTTGTAAGGGTTTCTCTGATTGGTGAAACAGTCTGTAGATTGAAAGATCGGCCATTAAAGTGCCTGTAACAGTGGTCACAATTTATTGTGCTGAAAGTATGGAGGTCAAAACTGTATTTTACCACAAATCTCACCAATCTACAATGGTCAGATTTACATCATCAACAGGTTAGCGGAGATCAAATACGGAGAAGAATGTCCTGATCGGATCACAGAAGTTTGATTTAATGTTAACAGGCCTCAGGGATACACATGCTTTAATCGTTTATAATTTAATAATTATTTATTTCATAATTTTATTATTGTTAATTTACATGAGGGATTCAGTTTCATGAATTTTGTAATTACTTTATAATTAGAAAACTCATAATACCTTGTAAATGTTTTGTATATTTGGAAAGAAACATGAAAAAGTTACATACTGTAAATACTTGTATGAAGGTTCAAGTGGAGTCATTAATGTATATTTATAATTAAAAACATAATTCTCATACCCACAGTAAAATAGTCTTATTAACTGCACAAGAGACAGTAAAAATGTTTTATACCTTCAAATTTAAAACGTTTCAAAATGATGCTGGGATACCAATTCACAATTTTTATAATCAAGAAAAAAATAGAAGCCATAAAACAAGAACCTTCAGTTCGAAATCTGGATCCACCACTTTACCACAATATATAGATATATTCATGTTAAAATAAAAATTACTTTTTATACAACATATGTCTAACATAGTTTGTGAAATACAGACATTACATCATGCCGTTGTGGAGATATATGATGGTATAACCATGACACAATGGAGTACAAGCTATTCACCATACAACATACAATACTGCAGGCCTCTCCTCCAACATGTCTTCCCATATAACTGCTCTTAACTGCTATACCATTACTTTTCTTTATCATTTACCATAAAAATTCTTTATTAATTCAATAAAATATTCACTCACACAAAAGTTTACATGAAGAAAATACACATATTTCTTTAAGTTTTAATTATAATTTTGAAAACAAAAATTAGTGACAATTTAATTAAGCATTATAAAATTTAGAAGTACAACATACATTAATAACACAGATAACAAAAATAAAGTTATAAGCTTTACTGATATTGATTACAGTTCTTGTTAAAACACAGTTGGATTGTTGAATGTGTCTATTATATGATATTAAGTTTGGACTGGTATGATGATTAATTGATAACATTTAAAATAATCTTCTGTATATTTTAGTTTTGTTTTGTTTTTGTTTTTTATCTTTTGACATAATTATGTCAAGGTCAACCAACATGTGTTAGAGCGTTGTGTAACCATTTGTTCATAAGTAATATTCAGAGAAGGAAATACTATATTTTAGTAAGTAATCTTGACCTTTGAAAACAAATGCCAAATACTGATAATTATGTTCCTTCCAGGTAAGACAACCAATTACAAGTCTGATAATTATGTTCCTTCCAGGTAGGACATTACCAATTTCAAGTCTGATATTTGTGCTATCATTCCTTCTGAACTTTTGAACTGGATTTTTTTTTTATATTGACAGTGACCTCAACCTTGACCTTTGACCTAAAAAAGAATGCCAATAGAGTTCTGCTTATTTCCTATGGCAACCAACCTACCAAGTCTGAACTTTGTTAAATAAGTTGTTCTGAAGTTAGCATCATAAGTAGCGATGTAAATGTATGGACAGATGGACAGACATCTGGCATGACTGAAACAATGCATCAATTCCTTTCCAGAGGAAAACAATGCAAAAACTGAATAGAAAATATAACTTATATTATTAGTTTTATATTGGAGTTAAACAATCCATAACCAAATACTGTAGGATTTTTTTTATCTCAACTTTCTGGTACAATGAAACCACAGCAGTTCAGACTTTTGGTGAAACAAAGGAAACAGTAGAAGGAAATATTAACTTTCCTGACTGATGCAACAGGTGTATTGTGTATTAGAGAACTGTATACCAGCACATAGACATCATTAGTCTCGGTTGGTGAGGCTTCATTGTATGTTATTATTGAACTAATTTCAACACACACATATATATATCAAATAAGAACCATATTTATTCATTAAGCAGCCCTTTCCAAATAAATACCCATAATGCACTGGTACCAATTCGTATACAATATTTTGTTTATAAAAGAAAGTAGAATTCTATATATTCCTTCTTTAGAAAAATGTAGAGACTCTGAGGGAGTTTAATTGAATAAATATGGTAAATTGTATATAACTTTAAAAGATATAATGTTGATGTAATTAGCAGCAGCAGAGAGATATGGGAGGACAGGCTGGTCCCGAGGTATTAGTGAAGGCCTCCTCACCTGTTGGTGATCTCCATTTTTTGGTTTATTAAGGGTGCCTTGATACTCAGTATCGACCTGGTATAACCAAACACTCACAGTCAACACAACTCCAACTGTAGGCTTACAGGTGAGTTTAACAGTAAATCTGTTACAGCCCAAACTCGTATCTAACTAAATAAAGGGTTTTCTTGACACCTTTCAACATCTGTTGTATTCCAGCATATGTTTCAGAACACTTTAGCATACTTGCCAACTCGCCCTATTTCAGAGGGAGACTCCCAAATTTCGAACCCTGAAAGTATTTTTTTTATCTCTAGGGCATATACACACATTATATTTATGTTTCTAATTTTGAGCACATGAAATATCCTCCTCTGAAATTTCAAAATGTTGGCAAGTATGCTTTAGAAATAATTTCATTGGTTTGATCTTTAGTACCACTGATGTGTCCTAAATGGGCGAAAACACCATTTGGTGAATTAGAATATTTATTTTGGATTTCTTCATCAATTTACTAAATTTCCAAACAGGTGCTCCTTTACAATGTATTTCCCATGATCATTTTAAAGCACAGCACACTCCAACTCAGTATATAGTCCTTTATCTATAAAGCACACTGACTATATATGATTCAGGAATCTGTTCTGTTGTCTATCAGACAATATATGTTTGTTGTTCTAGACGCTAAAATACATAATGAATCAATGAAGATTTTGAACTGTAAGCCACAGGCATAATAATACCCCTCGCTTGACCATTCAAGTTTTTCATGACGGGGTGGGGTGAGAATTACTAGTTATTGCTAAAACAGTGTCTAGTAAATTGGCCAGCTGAATGCACTTTAGTCAAGATGTAAGAGACCAACCAATTCGGGGCTGGACAATGGGGTTTAGGTGGGGCTGGGGACCAATTATTATTGTTAGATCAGGATATCTCACCGGTCAGTAGGAGTAGCCTGGACACACAGCATGTTTTCGTGGTCAATGACCCCCTTAGCTGTTCCACTCTACAATACAAACAGAACTTCAGTAGATTTTTGTACATTAACTGGTTCAGGTCAGCTTTCTATGTAAAAAGTTATCTCATAAGTCATATATGCTATGATAGACAACAGTGCAACCTGTCAAATCTGACCATTCAGTAGTCTGATATTATTGTCTAATATAACAGGGTATGTTACATTTTAATCCTTTTATTATGAAAACATCCAAACACAACCTATAAATTCTGGCATTTCGTCTAATCAAACTAGTGTTCAAATCACAGATGTATCATTGTATTATGTATGTACTGCACTTGTCTGAGAGAGACACCCAGATATCTATCCTCTTCCCCTAAACATCAATGATGTTCCTCTCAGCTGAAGGGATTACTCATGTTTTCTTCACAGAAAGGCAATAAATATTGATACAAAAATAAAAGGAGAATCACAAAGATGAAATAACTGTATATTCACAAATGTAAGATTTATCTATTAATAAATATGTATAATTGTATTTCTGCCGTGGGTATCACCTACTTTTTCATTAGTGAAGTAGCGCATACAGCCATGCTCCAATACACAAAACCTCTTCAGGAAATCTGAAAATAGCAAATCCATTTTTTATTTGGAAAACAAAGACATAAGTTCTATATGGTGTAGGATATGTATAAGACAATCTCTAAATAATGAGAACCAGGAAATTGTTACAGGATATACTAACCTTTCTTATCACTGCCAGTCTTAAGCAGAAATCCTTGTGTGCGGACATCAGACCTGATTTTTGACTCCCTAGCCTGATAAAGAGAAACAGAAATTACCTACAAATGTCATAATCAGGCTTCAGATTTACTGTCCATACCAATAGGAATGCGCATGAAACAGCATGATTAAAACTTTTTTTTAATTATGTGTTCATGAATTTATACCTCAATCTTAAATGGAGTAACATTGCGCATCATCTAAACAATATTTATTTTTGTAACCAAAATCTGAAAATGGTGAGATCTTAATGTGTATCAAACAGGTCAAGACTCGCCTCTGTCTCTGTGTTTTAATTGAAATGATTTATTTTCTATTTTCAAGCTGTATATTATAACAAGTACAATGTGCCCTTAGTGGGTTAACACATTATAACAGTTTGTACCTACCTTATCTGGTTCCTCACACAGCCGAGCTGCTGTTACTGAAAAAGTACAGCAACATCAAAACTGTATATTTTAACATGACAGGATATTTTTCTTACAGATTCAGTAATCAGTTTGATATGTTTGACAATTAGTTAAGCAAGAACAGGAACCTTTCCATTACCAGGTATCAATACAAAATTTATTATATACAAATTTAGTACAACAAGAGGTCCAAGGGGCCTAACAGTACTTCTAATTGGTCAGAACCATGTGCAGTTTAAGTTCAAGATGGCATCAGTGACAGCCATAAAGAATACTGTACTGAACATCAATCGATTCTATTTAATTTAAGATTTAACAGTTAAATAGAATTAATAAGTTCAAAATAGATTATCAAAATGGCTGTCATTTTAGCCGTATTGGATTTCTAATCAGCTTGAAATGGTCTGGTTCACACAGTGATCATTCCCACTTTGTTTCAGATTTAACAGTTCTGTAGAATTTGTTGTAAATGTTAACAGGTTAAGAGACAATGTATAGAAACATGATTGTCCTGTGGGCAAAGTTAACATGGTATACTCACAATCACCACCATTCTGGTACAGCAGTTCCTGAAATCGTAACGGGAGATGCAGGATAAAATTAATTGGATACATATTAGTTGGGTTTCCAAAAAAATAATCCCGAATATATTTATGAAACCAGATATTATTTTCAGTTGATTCTACCTTCTATCTGATGTCAGTTAACAGAATGACCAAGACTATTTGTCTAATGAAGTATGGGTGTGGGCTGTGGTGAATTGGGGGGTAGGTGATGGGGGGGAGCAATAGGGTGAACTATAATAACTTTACCACAGCCAGCTCAGGTACCTAACAGAAACTACTCACCATCTGCAATCTCTGACCAGCTGCCTTAGCTATGCTGAAGGCTGCAAAAGATAATAAATACATATTTAATTATTTTTCTTGCATATAATTTCATTTAAGGGTTAAATATATCCCGTAATGTTGACAACTATAGTTTCAGCCATATGCTGGGCAGTTTTAAGCCTCCTAGGTCTGGTCTGTCAAATACTCTAAACCTCATAACTGACAGGGTCAACTGAAAACTTAGCATTGACTTTAAATCCAGTATCTAAGTCATTAAAATGTAGGCGCATTACATCATGAAGTCAAGTAAATGAGTATTTCAAGTCTGAAACTTGAAACTTAAGTTAAATTACAATTAATTCATCCCATACATTAAGTGCATTCTTCATCATGTACAGTCTGTCCAATTCTTAGGTATCTATCTTCAAACTATAAAGTATTTATACTCAAGTGTAGGTAGTTATCGACAGATTGACATGCAGTTTAATGTACAGGGGTCTTTATACACAGGTGGTTTTTATTTACAAGTTGGCATTTTACACATTTGGGATATTCTGAGGATGGTAGTTATATACAAGGGGAAATTATAGACGGGTGGCAATGATCTGTATAGACAGGTTGCCTTCATACTGGTGGTCATTATAGATAGGTATTCTGTATAGACAGGTTGCCTTCATACTGGTGGTCATTAAAGATAGGTATTCTGTATAGACAGGTTGACTTCATACAGGTGGTCATTATAGATAGGTATTCTGTATAGATAGTTTGACTTTATAAACAGGTGATTTTTATAGATAGGTATTCTGTATAGACAGGTTGACTGCATACAGGTGGTCATTACAGATAGGTATTCTGTATAGACAGTTTGACTTTATAGACAGGTGATTTTTAAAGATAGGTATTCTGTATAGACAGGTTGACTGCATACAGGTGGTCATTATAGATATGCATTCTGTATAGACAGGCTGACTGCATACAGGTGGTCATTATAGATATGTATTCTGTATAGACAGCTTGCCTTCATACAGGTGATCATTATAGATATGTATTCTGTATAGACAGGTTGACTTCATACAGGTGATCATTATAGATATGTATTCTGTATAGACAGGTTGACTGCATACAGGTGGTCATGAAAGATAGGTATTCTGTATAGACAGGTTGACTGTATACAGGTGGTCATTATAGATATGTATTCTGTGTAGACAGTATGTCTTCATACAGGTGGTCATAATAGATAGGTATTCTGTATAGACAGGTTGCCTTCATACAGGTGGTCATTATAGACAGTTTGCCTTCATACAGGTGGTCATTATAGATAGGTATTCTGTATAGACAGGTTGACTTCATACAGGTGATCATTATAGATAGGTATTCTGTATAGACAGGTTGCCTTCATACAGGGGGTCATTAAAGATAGGGATTCTGTATAGACAGTTTACCTTCAAACAGGTGGTCATAATAGATAGGTATTCTGTATAGACAGGTTGCCTTCATACAGGTGGTCATTAAAGATAGGTATTCTGTATAGACAGTTTACCTTCAAACAGGTGGTCATAATAGATAGGTATTCTGTATAGACAGTTTGCCTTCATACAGGAGGTCATTATAGATATGTATTCTGTATAGACAGGTTGCCTTCATACAGGGGGTCATTAAAGATAGGTATTCTGTATAGACAGTTTACCTTCAAACAGGTGGTCATAATAGATAGATATTCTGTATAGACAGTTTGCCTTCATACAGGTGGTCATTATAGATATGTATTCTGTATAGACAGGTTGCCTTCATACAGGTTGTCATTATAGATAGGTATTCTGTATAAACAGGTTGCCTTCATACAGGTGGTCAGTAAAGATAGGTATTCTGTATAGACAGGTTGCCTTCATACAGGTGGGCATTATAGATAGGTATTCTGTATAGACAGTTTGCCTTCATACAGGTGGTCATTATAGATATGTATTCTGTATAGACAGGTTGCCTTCATACAGGTGGTCAGTATAGATAGATATTCTGTATAGACAGGTTGCCTTCATACAGGTGGTCATTATAGATATGTATGCTGTATAGACAGGTTGTCTTCATACATGTGGTCATTATAGATAGGTATTCTGTATAGACATTTTGCCTTCATACAGGTGGTCATTATAGACAGTTTGCCATCATACAGGTGGTCATAATAGATAGGTATTCTGTATAGACAGGCTGACTTTATAGACAGGGGATTTTTATAGATAGGTATTCTGTATAGACAGTTTGACTTCATACAGGTGGTCATAATAGATAGGTCTTCTGTATAGACAGGTTGACTTTATAGACAAGGGATTTTTATAGATAGGTATTCTGTATAGACAGTTTGACTTCATACAGGTGGTCATAATAGATAGGTCTTCTGTATAGACAGGTTGACTTTATAGACAGGTGATTTTTATAGATAGGTATTCTGTATAGACAGTTTGACTTCATACAGGTGGTCATAATAGATAGGTCTTCTGTATAGACAGGTTGACTTTATAGACAGGTGATTTTTATAGATAGGGATTCTGTATAGACAGTTTGCCTTCATACAGGCGGTCATTATAGATATGTATTCTGTATAGACAGGTTGTCTTCATACATGTGGTCATTATAGATAGGTATTCTGTATAGACAGTTTGCCTTCATACAGGTGGTCATTATAGACAGTTTGCCTTCATACAGGTGGTCATAATAGATAGGTATTCTGTATAGACAGGTTGACTTTATAGACAGGTGATTTTTATAGATAGGTATTCTGTATAGACAGTTTGCCTTCATACAGGTGGTCATTATAGATATGTATTCTGTATAGACAGGTTGTCTTCATACATGTGGTCATTATAGATAGGTATTCTGTATAGACAGGTTGCCTTTATACAGGTGGTCATTATAGATAGGTATTCTGTATAGACAGGTAAACTTAAAGGCAGCTTTCACTGCACCACTGAATTACTAAGGAACATTTCTCAACTTTGTCAAACTTGTAAAATATATGATTTATTAAAAAGTAAAACTTTTTAATTCACTATCCAGTTTTTATAAAACTTCTATTTCTGTATCTATGTTACCATAAATAACAGACAGAAGTCAAATATCAAACTTAAAGAGAAAAGACAAACATTCCTCACGTTAATAGTAAGATCTGCTGTGTCAACGTTAGTCATTGTAATGACATACAGTCAATCCTAGTACACTACCCACGTCCTATACACAAAACTAGGCTAACGTTTTTTGGACAAATCTTAACTGGACCTGGCCAATTCATTCATCTCTTTTTTTCCCCAAACAAAGTTTGGTATAAAGATAACAATAATAGACACATGTTGTGTAACATGACTAGCCTCTAGTAACAAATACAAACTGACCTACTTAAAACTAAAAAATCCACATTGAATAAATTATCAAGCTATTCACCATTTCAACTCAAGCATAAGAAATATTCATTATAAAAGGACATGAATTTCTGAAATTAAATTGAAATAATTGAAGTGAGGTTACTGTATACAAATGACATCAACAGAATTTATCAAGATATGATCTCTTATGAGGGATGAAGTTCAAAGGCAGATGTAATGGTATCTAAATAGTATATTTTAGATAGAAAAAAACTCTTCATAAATTTAAAAAATATAAATTTTAGTATGTTAAAACTTCAGTCTGACCCACAATATATTTACACAGGATCCAATACAACAGACACTAGCTCTTCAATGGTGGAGATGATGCTCTTAAACTACTGTAAACTTTTGTCAACTAAATTTGGTTTTTATGATCTTTTTATAAAATAAAAATATACAACATTTAATATAGCGCCCTATATAGCTAACATAAGCCACTCTAAAGCGCTTTACACTACACAGCTATACAATTTAATACAATGAATACAATTAGCATATACATAATTCAATATAATTTTGAGGAATTCGCAGGAGCTGCCTTATCGGCACTAACTACTATTCCTTTACCACCTTGCTAATATCTCCTTATGTGTGTATGCCTGGGTGTGTGCTGGAGATGAATTAACATAGAATTAATTTAATATACACTATATTATAAAACAAAATTGAAGTTTTATCTTACAAATTATTTTACAAGTTTAACACACACAAGTACACGTTATGATGATGGAAATCAATCACTTATCAACATAGCGACACAAACCTTTAGATATTCGTTGAACAGTTTTCATTTTCCTGTGTATAAGATCTAAAGCTCCAGGTAATATCCTGTTAGGAAGTGTATCAGAATCACTTATACCACCAGCACCACACAATAGCAATCTTCAAGGTTATCTTAGATTCCACAATAATTTTTTTTTGAAAATTGAAAAAAAGATTGTTTTCTTCCCGTAACTTTGTGTACGCAGCACTGAACTGGTTTACTTATATTGATGTATAGTCACTTTGTTGATCACAGGTCATCCTTAGGCTATATTCACACGTTGCTTCCTTCCTTCCTCACAACACACAGGCTTTAGATATCAGACAATATGTGTATCATCCTTTAGACAGTGTTATACGTAGAACAAAATACATGTCCCAAAGAATTAGTACAAATTTCCACATGCACTCCCAAAGAAATGGAATTTATCAGATCAAGACAACATCTCTACCAAAATAGCTTTTCTTTTCTAGTTTTCTGGCACAAAAAGGATAAGCAAAAAATGGCATAAATGATTTTCTCCAACAAAAACGCTATCAGCCATTAAATAAATATCATGTTTTTTCCATAACGATAGATGTTTGAGATGGTGAGGATCTGCTATCAGGGAGACCCCAACATATCTCTATATCTCCCAACACTGCTACCTCCTTCTTCCTAAATCTACACAGGTATCCCTTTTTCTGGCTCGTTAAACAGCACAGGTATCCTTATGTACAGGTACATAAGAAAAGGTAACACCAGAGCCAATACACTACAAAGACACCCTACTGCTTTAACGAGTTTCAGAAAGTCTGGACAGACAACAATAAAAATAGGTATACAGGCAGGAGTTTATGAATGAATGTTCCTGACAAAGTGTGATACAAGATACGCCTGA